ACCAGAACTTGGCTGGAGATCCTGGCTAGAGATCCTGGCTAGGCTGCTGATCAACTGAAGGCTGTCTCCGTGTCATTCCTTCTTCGCCGACTCCGTCCACACCTTTGGGGACCCCTGGACCCACTGGGGTTGGACCCCAACAACTATAGGGAATTCACTGTACCAGCTAATAGGGCATAATCTCCAAATTGACTTTAGATATTTTACTTCTACTTAAGTTTAGATTTTAACACAAAATATCCTTAACCAAGAGAAGCTAAGTGAATTAATTGAGAAGCTAACATTCCGTTTCCTCCAGGAAAAAAAAAGTTGGGCCCGGCCAGCGTGGCTCAGTGGTTGAGCGTCAACCTATTGAAACAGGTATTTGGGGGATAAAATAGGACAGGTTTAGGAAATATTAGAAATTTTAGAAATTAGGGGCACCATGGAGAAAGCACAGGGCTGCAGAGCAGCAGAAGGTATGTTTCCATAGAATCGGGGAGCTGGAAAGCTGCAACAAGTACATTTCCATAGAATGAGCAAAAGGTCTATATTTACAAAATAAAGAGAGGAAGCCCTTCACTCAGAAGGAGAAGAAGAAAGCTCAAAGGGAATAGGAAAACAATAGGGAAGGAGGTGGGGGAGAACCTCACATGTCCCATGTGAGGTTCAACATTTGAGCCCAGGAGTTACCATAGTAACCAGCACGGGAGAATAGTGACCAATCAAAGAGGACATCAAGGCACAACCATCTGCAGCCTTTATAAGCCACAGGAAAAGGAATTCTGTGGGACTCTTTCCCCCTCCACATGGGAGTCTGTACTTGTTCTTTAATAAATTTCCACCTTTGCTATACCACCTTCTGTCCATGGATTTAGGGAAAAGGAACTCAGTGGGACCCTTTCCCCCTTCCTACATGGGAGTCCATTCTGTGGGACTCTTCCCCTCTCCCCATGTGGGAGTCTGTACTTATTCTTCAATAAATTCCCACCTTTGCTATACCACTAAAAAAAATAAAATAAAATAAAATAAAATGGAACTATAGGCAAATCCCAATGTGTTAATTTTATAATTATAACTTGGATAGCTATTCTAATATTTCGTGTCAGCCCCAACATCTGTGTGTTTAAACAGGACATATTTATACATTAATGGAAACATTTTCTAATTCTAAAAGTGACCATCATCACTTCATAATTAATATTATTGTGAAGTGCTGCCTGGAGGTCTCATAGAAATCATCAAAGTAAATCAAAGTAACACAACAAGTTGTAATTATCACATTCATGTGGCTTCATGCTGAGCTGGAAGATGGGCTGAGCACCTATATCCTCTCCCTTACTTTTAAAAGACACAAATTTTTCAAGCCTGGTAATTTGATTGATAAATACATTCACTTATATAAATTAAATGGTCACTCCGTGCCAGGGTACTAATCTCCGTTATGACATTTACCATAACCAATGTCACCTCCAGGTGAAAAGTCCTTCACTCCTTGTGCTCTTGCCCCTTTATGCGCGGACCATGTCTCAGAAATTGGCTGGAGCATTGGGCTCTGCCCAAAGGGTCCATGGTAATTCTCCCACTGGGTTACCCAAAAGAGTAAGGAGAGAACCAGCCAGTCCATAGGGGAAAAACAGAGCAGAAAAGAAGCCAGGTCCAGACTGCATAAAAGCAAAACCCGCCCTTCAGGTGGCCGGAGGAGGTTCCCAGGTTCCCTTTGGCAGCCCAAGGAGGCAAAGGACATGGCCAGATCCTAGTAGAACCCTTCACCTGCATTTTCTCATTAAATCCATCCAAAAACCTAACACAATGTTAACATCCGAATTTTACAGATAAGCTGATTCTGTGCCACAATTGATGTAAACAAGCTTTGAGAATCTCAAATAAGCACTTAACCACTTCCACCCCATGCTCAAATCCTTGCCTAACAGGGCACAGGACTACAGGAAGAAGATGGATTCCGAGTATTTCTGGTGGGATGGATGGGAACCAGAATTAGCCCATTAGGGGAAGGTAACAGAAGGAAGGGAGACAATCTTCATGAAGGTTTTCCTCTTCTCTAAAAGTGAGTGTTGTTGGGCCATAGTTGCTGAGTTGGGAACAGAAAGAGATGCTTTGGAGAAAGCAGGGAAGATCAAGTCAGAGAAGAGAAGTGGGAAGGTGGCTGGAGTGGGACATCACCCCGAGCAGAAAATGCCATGTGGCTCGGAGTGGGGACTGCTGGGAGAAGTCCTAGGTCCCGGGATGTGAGGAAACCCTGCAGAGTTCTGGTTCTGCATCTTGCCTCTGGACAAGGGGTCAGCTAAGCCCAGGATAAATTATTAACAACTTGCCAGTTTGCCTTGAAAGTTTCCAGAGATGAAGAATTAGAGAGCCCTTGGCGGCCAGTTTTAATCGGTGTCCTCCTCCCGGCATGGGGCTCTTCCTAATGACCTGCTCAAATGTGTCAGAATTCCCTAAAGCCTGTTTGTGCCCGTTCAGTGCTGCTCAGACACAGAGCTGCTTCTGCTCAGCAGCATCCTCATTTGAGAAAATGTCATCCACCTGAAAAAAGTCATTAAGCTGCCTCTTAGCATTCTCTTCTCCAAACTAAGGGAATTCATTCAGAAGCTAGACAGCCACTTTGGGGGTGAAAGGTGTTACAGAGAAGATTACAGCGCATGAAGTGAACCACACTAGATGGTCCTCCAAGATATCTTCCCAACCAGAAAGCCTTTGATTCAATTCCTTTTATCTTTATTGTGAAGCAAGTTTTCCATCACTTTGTTCACTTTTGTCACTAGATCTGTCACCTAATTCTCTATATTCTTTTAATATGTTTAAATGTAACATGCATAGGAACAGTTTCTCAACATCAAGCAAAGCCTCATTAGTTCAGAGTAAGTTGGAAAAGGCATGTTCCAGAGTAGGAAATCAGAATAAAAAGTATTTTCAATTTTAAAAATTGTCATTACAAAAGACTACATAATGGATATTAACAAATAAAATGAGAAAGTTAATGAAAGATGGTGAGTTACAATAACTATTTTTATGGCACTTTATACTCTCAAGGTGTTGTTACATACATCATTTTATTTTGCCAATTTTATTCAATATGTAAATGTAATTTATAGGTAATAGATCATCTGAATAGAAATCTAAGTCAAAAAGTATTGAATTATCTTGCTAAATTTGAACTTTTAATTCAATAAGAATTATATATAATTATTCCAAGGCTGCATCAGGGCAGTCTGAATTAATGAGGTTCTGCTCTTCTGTAGCCATAATAAACCTGACAATTTTATGGCCACCTTAGCCCAGAGTGTCACTCCCATCTACACATTAGTAATAAATACTGTTTCTTCACACAGGAACTTTTGTCATAACAGAGCATCCCACTTTAAAGAACTTTCACCAAGTAAATTATCTAATATCTCAAATACCATAGCAATGTTTCCTATGATAAATGTGTGAAGAGTTCATTATACTCTCTAAAAATACTTGCTTTGATTTTAAATGAGCCTCAGTAAAGAAGATATTCCAGGATGTTGAAGACTCAACATATCACAGAAATTATCATCTTTCTGTTTGTTCAGAAAAAGAACAGTCACGATTAGTTCTAAATAATGGAACTAAATTAACACGTGTAGAAACCCAGACACGGAATCCTCTATTTGGGAAACCTAGTGACCCTAAAGGGGATCAATGAGCATCTTCATCATCTTCGCTTTCTTCTTAAACCTGCAGTTGGTGTCAGAACAATTTATTATTCTTTCAGAACGGTCAGAAAGACAATGCCTTTACCTACCTTAAAAAGTCTTAAAATGTTAGCAACCATGATGGACACGGAGCTGGCTGCAGCACCTATGACTCCAGATATCTTGTCGGGCTTGGTGAAAATGGGTGGGTCCCCATTCGCACACTTCACATCCGAAGCGTCTTTCTCGATCAGCGCCTGCACGAACGTCAGCGACTGCTCCAGAGCATAGGTGTCCCTGGAGCATGTGTCAAGGATCCGGACACCCAGAGTGATATTCGAGAGGAGGTCAGGGTCCTTATTGATCTGGTCGATGGCATAAAGCATGGCCTCCAGTCTGTGGATCCCCTTTTCCTTCTTCAGCTCCCCACAAGGCACCCCTCTCTCTCCCTTTGCATGGACAGGGAAGAGACCCCCCAAAATGATGTCCCCATCCATGCGTATGGAATGGGCATGCTCCTGGCTGTGAGTTCTTTGCATCATCGTGAGGATCCAGTAGAACTTGGCGGTCAGGAGGAAGAAACAAGGGCAAGAGGCTGATCGCTTCCCCTCGCATACCATTTTCTCCACAGGTGGTGTTGCAATCCAAGACCCAAAGTTTATTCTTGCCACAGAAGAAGGGGGACCACCTGAGGCCGCACCTTCTGGAGGCTACCATCAGGCCCCCTGAGAAAGGCTCTGTGGGCTTCAGCAAGTTTTCTTGATTGGAATGTCACAGTGAATTTCCATCAGACCTCGAAGGTTCAATTTTATTTCCGTATAAAGTCAACTTGCCTGGAATGGTGCAAAAATCAGAATAACCGCCGAGGTTCTGATGTTGGGATGAGGTCAACAATCCATGTCCTTGAAATCAGCCCTGCAGCAGAATTATTCCTGGGGGCAGGAGAAGGGAAAAGGGGGTTCAGTTCAATGGGTCTACATTTTTCATAGTTTTAAGCCCTGTTACACCAGCTTTTTTTTTTTTTTCGGCTTAACTTCCCCTATTCAGCAAGAAGCTAATTCTTTTTGTCCCCCTATGATTCTGAACACCTGGCTGCACTGCATCTAAACAGAGAGATTGATGACACTTTTGG